TTACAAGCTACCATTTTAGATTTACAGAGGAGGTCTAGTGTTAGAATTACTGCCCTTGATCTGATGTTCATGGTGATATCTCACATGCATGGTGCAACCCCTGTTTATATACTGGCACAGGTGCTCGTGCACACAGGTGCTTTTTTTTTTTTTTTTTACACTGTCCCTTTAATTTTTTTTTATCACTTTTATTGCTATCATAGGCCATGCAAATATCTCCTATAACTTCAATGGGCATTGTCATATATTCTTTTTTGAGAAATCTGGGTTCTATCAGACTCTAGATAGCTCCTCTGCCTGTACATTATCTAATCAAACCAAGATCGGCATGATCAGATGCTTTCCAAATTTACAAATGGTGCTGTTTATATCCTGCGAAACTGAAGTGATGAAATGCTCGTAGTTTCCGATTTCTGAGTATAGAGATGATTGGCACCATACTTGTCTCCAGTCAGCTCTATGGTCAGCTGGCAGAAACACCGGCTGCATTCTCAGGTTCCCCCGATGGCATGGGACTGATCGAGAAGGCCGCGGGGGGAGGGGGGGGGCATCATCTCCCGCTGCTTGTAAAAGCAATCCTGCAGCTAATTAGCCAATGACGAATGAATGATACCAAGATGAATGATACCAAGATGATGCCTGCAGCTGTAGACATCATCCTGGTATAACCATTCAAACTCCAGTGATGTACCAGTACATCGCTGATCCTTGGTTATATATGTTATGTTTTTTTTTTTTAATGCAGCCTGTGGGCTGAATGAAAAAAAAAGAGAAGAAATTTCTGCCAGAAAAAGTGTGTGGTATGCCCACCATTAGAATATACCACCCTGCATCCACCCACTTCTAATGGTGGGCACACATTAGGTCACACTTTGCTACAAGCGCCAGTTCCAAGATTGAACAAATGTCTAAATAGTGGCACGCTTGAATAAAAATTGTCCACGTATAAATGGTACCCCATATGGAAAAAGGATGACACCAAGTCCCAAACTATCTTGCCACTGCTCCCCATGTAGTCTGGGCATCCAGGGGGCTCCACGTAGCTATCTTTTCTTCGTAAAAAACCGAAACTAAGAAGTATAGCCTGTTGCCCTCTGACAGATCTTCTACATCTTGACCCCATATCTGGCACGCTTGCTGGGGAGAAATTGTTTGAATGCAAGGCAGCCAGAAAAATTAATGAGGGACTCATCAACGCAGATGTTTTGCTGGGGAGTATAGACATCTGCAAATTTTTGGTTAAGGTGATTCATAAGGGGCTGAATTTTGTGTAGCCGGGTGACGTCAAGACTCCTCCCCTACGCGTTATGCTGCAGATGACGCAGCTTCATCAGGGGGATATGATTGGTCCTCAAAGGAGGTGAGCGCATATTGAGATCACAATAAGAAGTCACTTGGAATGAAGATTTGTTCACTTTTGAATTTGTCACGTTTGGACTGATCACATTTTTTTTAGCATATTTCAATGGTCGCTTATTATTTGGATATAATTTGTCTCACGATAACACAAAGGACTATATCACTAATGTATATTTTTTGAAAGATAATTGTTTTATTATATGATATAATAGTTTTAGGAGCGCGGCACTATTGTTTGTAAAGGTAGTGAGACAGGCTTCCGAGAAAACCTTAGTGACCTCTTCGGTAGTAGCAAGGTCAAAAGAGGAAAGTGTTGAGGGAGGTTTAGTATAAGGTATGCTAAGTGGGATGGATGTCTGTGCAGTGGCGATGCCCCTACGAATTGCGTCAATCTTGTTTTTGAAATGATTTGCAATCTTGTGAGCAGTGAGTGAGGTACTGGGTGGAGGTGGAGAAAGTAGAGAGTTAAAAGTAAAGAAGAGACGACGAGGACTGGATGACAAGGTATTAATAAGAGTGACAAAGTAGGCTTGTTTGGCAGCATGAAGGGAGGAATTATACATTAAGAAAGCAGATTTATATCGGGTGAATTCTTGCTGGGATTTGGTTTTACGCAACAATTGCTCCAGCGCACGACTATGTCGTTTAAGATTTCTGGTGTCATCAGTCTGCCAAGGTTGCAACGGTCGGGGCCTGATGCTTCGTGTTGTTAGAGGAGCAAGTGAGTCTAATGCGGATGAAAGCGAATTGTTGTAGACAGCAGTGGCCAGGTCAGGGCAGGCCAGGGGAGAGATTCTGTCATAGAGTTGGTCAGTTGCAGAGCGGAAAGGAGCAGGGTTCAAGTTGTGAAGGTTTCTGTGGGTAATTGTTTGTCGCTTGGAGGGATAGGTGTTTGAAGACGAGGACACTGTGAAGGTGATGAGATTGTGATCAGAGAAAGGTAAGGGGGTGTTTGTGAGGTTGTAGGGAGTGCAAAGATGGAAGAAAACAAGGTCTAATGTATTCCCATCAGAGTGAGTGGAGGACTGTATACACTGTGCTAATGCAAAAGATGAGGTTAGGTTGAAGAGTTGGGATGTAGCTGGGCTGTTCACATTAATAGGGATGTTAAAATCTCAGAGAATGATAGTGGGTAGTTCAGAGGAGAGAAAGTAGGGTAGCCAGGCAGAGAAATCATCAAGAAAGCGGGACACCTGTCCAGGAGGCCGATAGATCACAGTGAGTCTCGAAAGAAGAGAAGGATAGAGAGGGAGGGTTAGGGAGGACTTGAAAGGTGCTGAGTGGGGATAAAAGCAAACCAACCCCACCACCTTTCCGACCACTGGGTCTGGGTGAGTGGGTCCAGATGAGGCCTCCATAGGAAAGTGCTGCGGGAGAAGCAGAATCTGCTGTTTGGAGCCAGGTTTCTGTAATTGCTAGTAGGTTAAGGGAGCGGGAGACAAAATGGTCATGGACAGAGGTGAGCTTATTACAGACAGAGAGCGGGCATTCCAGAGTGCACATGAAAAAGGAAGGGTGGTATTTGGGAGCACAGGGACTGATATTAAATTGCGGGGATTGCGGCTATTCCTGGACAAAGGAGGATGCCTGGTGTGTGGGTGAAATACTGGAGGACCAGGGTTTGGGGAGATATCCCCAGATGATAGGAGAAGAAGGGTGAGGAAAGTAACATGGGAGTGGGAGGTACATGAGTGCACATGCCTTCCTGTCCTGATGTTTGGGTCAGCAGGAGAGTAAAGTATCAGCAGGAGGTGATGAGAGCAGTAGTAGGGAGATGGTAGCAGTGAGGGGGAGATGTACAAGTTTTGGGGTGGAGCAGAGGGGTAAAGAAGTGAGATTTTGGGAATGCAGGAAAGTAATATGAAAAGGAGGAGTACAGGGGACATATTAAAAGGTACACAGAGTGGGACTCAGACATGTAAGGGATGTTTCCCAGGGTGTTTGCTTGCAGTCTGTCCAGCATGCAGTAGAGTTTCTTGCTGTTGTATCTTCCTGCTGCTTGAGTTCAACTGCTGTGTTTAACTGCTTCTTAGCACTCCATCAACGCAGCACTCACGCAAAAGCAGCACCCCATCAGTGACTGTGCCCCCCCATCAGTGATCTCCCCCCATAAGCTGTTCTAAATTTAGAGGGAGATGGCCAAATGAGCACTCTTCTCTGCCCCAATTAGAAACTGATAAGGATCACATGAATAGGGGGTGATGTTTCTCAAACACAGACCCGACACAGGCTACAGTTATAAAACGAATGCAGCTGGAGGCGAGAAACTAAACAGCATATACAAGAATATATATACACTAGTTGTTCTGAAATTAAGAGGAGTCAAAGCATTGTAGTTAAGAGTGGAATGAAGATAGGAGCATTTACTCAGTGAAAGCAGCAGTCAATGCGTTATTTTAGTTAAGAGTGAAGATAGGAGCATTTACGCAAACGCAGCACCAAAGTCCTCCAAATTTCATGTGGTCTTCAGATTAGCACAACAGCGTGTAGAGCGCTTCATGGAATGGGTTTCCATGGCCGAGTAGCTGCATCCAAGCCTTACATCACCAACTGCAATGGAAAGCGTCGGAAGCAGTGGTGTAAAGCACGCCACCACTGGACTCTAGAGCAGTGATGTGTTCTCTGGAGGGACGAATCATGCTTCTCTGTCTGGCAATCTGATGGACGTGTCTGGGTTTGGCGGTTGCCAGGAGAACGGTACTTGACTGACTGCTAAGTGTAAAATTTGGTGGAGGAGGGATTATGGTGTGGTGTTGTCTTTCAGGGGTTTGGCTTGGCCCCTTAGTTCCAGTGAAGGAAACACTTAAGGCGTCAGCATACCAAGACATTTTGGACAATTTAATGCTCCCAACTTTGTGGGAACAGTTTGGGGATGGCCCCTTCCTGTTCCATCATGACTGCGCACCAGTGCACAAAGCAAGCTCTATAAAGACATGGATGAGCGAGTTTGGGGTGGAGGAACTTGACTGGCCTGCAGAGTCCTGACCTCAACCCGATAGAACACCTTTGGGATGAATTAGAGTGGAGACTGTGAGCCAGGCCTTCTTGTCCATCTATCATCAGTGCCTGACCTTCACAAAGGCGCTTCTGGAAGAATGGTCAAACATTCCCATAGACACACTCCTAAACCTTGTGGACAGCCTTCCCAGAAGAGTTGAAGCTGTTATAGCTGCAAAGGGTGGGCCAACTCAATATTGAACCCTACGGACTAAGACTGGGATGCCAATATAGTTCATGTGCTTGTAAAGGCAGGCGTCCCAATACTTTTGGCAATATGGTGTATGTGTATAAATATACTGACACCTAATGAATGTTGAACATTGCAGCCAATAATCCCATCATCCCAATATGCAGTTTAGTACATACTGATTTTAAAATGTATTTGAAAAAAATGGGCTGGATGGGAAGTGATCGTTATCAGTCACTGTAAAGCAGACCTTCCCTCACAGCAGATGAACAAGGTGTTATTGCACTCCTGTGATGTAAACCTTAGGGGGAGATTTACCAATACTGGAGTACTCCGAATCTGGTGCAGCTGTGCATGGTAGCCAATCAGCTGCCAACCTCACCTTGTTCAATTAAGCTTTGACAAACACAACGTGGAAGGTGATTGGCTGCAATGCAGAGCTGCACCAGATTTTTCACCATGCAGTTGTAATAAATCAGCCCCCTTTGTGACTAAACATGTCCGCACTCACTGCCCCCCCCTCCTTTGCATACATCTCCCTCACACAGCGTACACCCGCCTACATATCCCGCCCTCCTTCGCTCTGCCAGTCACGTGCTCTGCTAACCTTGGAAGGGCTTTGTGGATACTTCCGTTGACGTCAGGCTCCTTCCTGCTCTCCCCGGTGTGCAGTGTGAGTGGTGTTATTGGAGGAGAGAAGATGGTTGTTCCCGTGCAAGTGTCTCCGCTCATCAAGGTGAGTGTGTAGAGGGCGGTGCACGCTGACCTTCCGGCTGTGTGCGCGCTTCTATCTCCCCCTCAGGCTCGGAGCCAGCCTGTTACCGCGGACTGCTGGGTGAAGGTGACATGAAGGCCACTGCCTGTAGTCATGAGAGGTCATGTCATGTCATGGTCTACTATGGGATACCAGACTTATACACATGGACCTTCACCATGAGCAGCGGCAGTGTCATTGTATTCTGAATGACAGCACTGCATACATTTCTATCCGCATCTCTAGTCTGCCATATATCCATGTGCATGGGATAGACACCCCTACAGGGTTACAGGGGTAACCTAGAGGTATCTCCTCATTGGTTGCAAATAAATGATTAACCACTTGCCCTCCAGAGGATTTACCCGCCTTCCTAACCAGGCCATTTTTCTTTTCAATACAGCGCTGCGTTATTTTAACTGACAATTGTACGGTCATGCAATACTGTACATAAATGAAATGTCATTTTTTTCCCCCAGAAATAGAGCTGTCGGTGGTATTTGACGCCTCAGCGTTTTTTATTTTTTGCACTATAAACAAAAAAAGACCAACAATTGTGAAATAAGAATACTTTTGACTTTTTGCTATATAATATATCCAATAAAAAATTAAATCAAATTTTAAGTAAATCAAGCAGTGTTGAAAAATACAGTGGCTATAAAAAGTCTACACACCCTTGTTAAACTGTCAGGTTTCTGTGATGTAAAAAAAATGAGACAAAGAGAAATCATTTCAGTACTTTTTCCACCTTTAATGTAACCTATAAAAAACTAAAATAGTTGCATAAGTGTGCACACCCTCTTATAACTGGGGATGTAGCTGTGTTCATAATTAAGCAATCGCATTCAAAATCATGTTACATAAGAGTCAGTACACACCTGTCATCATTTTAAAGTGCCTCTGATCTACTCCAAATAAAGTTCAGCTGTTCTAGTAGGTCTTTCCTCACATTTTCTTAGTTGCATCCTACAGCAAAAGCCATGGTCCGCAGAGAGCTTCCAAAGCATCAGAGGGATCTCATTGTTAAAAGGTATCAGTCAGAAGAAGGGTACAAAAAAATTTCCAAGGCATTAAATAAGATATACCATGGAACACAGTCATCAAGTGGAGAAAATATGGTGTAACAGTGACATTGCCAAGAACTGGACGTCCCTCCAAAATGGATGAAAAGACGAGAAGAAAACTGGTCTGGGAGTCTGCCGAGAAGCCTTCAGCAACATTAAAGGAGCTGCAGGAATATCTGGCAAGTACTGGCTGTGTGGTACATGTGACAACAATCTCCTGTATTCTTCCTATGTCTGGGCTATGAGGTAGAGTGGCAAGATGGAAGCCTTTTCTTAGGAAGAAAAACTTCCAAGCCTGGCTAAATTTTGCAAAAACACATCTGAAGTCTCCCAAAAGCATGTGGGAAAATGTGTTCTGGTCTGATGAAGCCAAGGTTGAACTTTTGGGCCATAATTCTAAAATATGTTTGGCACAAAAACAATACTGCACATCACCATACCCACAGTGAAGCATGGTGGTGGCAGCATCATGTTTTGGGGCGGTTTTTCTTCAGCTGGAATTGGGGCCTTAGTCAAGGTAGAGGGAATTATGAACAGTTCCAAATACCAGTCAATAGTGGCACAAAACCTTCAGGCCTCTGCCAGAAAGCTGAACATGAAGAGGAACTACATCTTTCAGCATGACAACGATCCAAAGCATACATCAAAAATCGAAATTCTGTGGGGTGATCTGAAGTGGGTTGTGCACAAGAGACCCTCACAATCTGACAGATTTGGAGTGTTTTTGCAAGAAAAAGTGGGCAAATATTGCCTAGTCAAGATGTGCCATGCTGATAGACGCCTACCCAAAAAAACTGAGTGCTGTAATAAAATCAAAAGGTGCTTCAACAAAGTATTAGTTTTAAGGGTGTGCACACTTATGCAACCATATTACTCCACCTAAACGATTTCAGTTTGTTGTTCAACTGAGTTGTACGGTTTATAGGTTACATTAGAGGTTGAAAAAATTCTGAAATGATTTATCTTTGACCATGTTTCATGTTATACCTTGAATATGGGTGTAACATTAATCATGGCCAGAAAGATGGACTTAGCTTTTAACAACTTTTATGAAAATGTATTTAAAATGCATTAAGGGCTTATTCACACTTGTTGTTTTAGTACAGTGCAAATGGCAGAGCACTGTGTTGTCATGCACTGTATTGCTAAAATCTAGTCATCCACTGTGTTAATGTGAGTTGTGCTAAGGCACACTACAACAGAAGAATAAATGCACAACACTAAGGGTATACTCACACCAGATGCAGGGGGACTGTGTTAGGTGGCTATTCCAGCACAGCCCCCCACTACATGACACGACAGAATGCCTCATCTCCTTCTCAGCCTGGTTCACTCCACTGTGTTGTGGCGGTGTGCGGGCAGTGCGCAGTGAAAACTGCGAGCAGTATTTTTTTTTTTTTTTTTTTTCAGCGCAAGGCATAGTGTGGCAGCCAGTTACACTTTATGAAATGTCTCTGTGACTTTTTTCAAAAAGTAAACAATGATCCACTGAGATCAGAATCCAGCCAGACTGCACCGCACACCAGTCGCTACGTTGTGAAGATACCAAAAAGCATGAATCCACTCAGACCTTTCCGTATAGACTCCTGAATGACAATACATGTGTACTAGTAAATTGAACCTATATGTTTTATTACAAAACCACTTCTGTGCACTATGGGGGGCATAAAACCTGGCGGTGTGGTAGTTGTTAATCTCAACCTGCAGCTTGAAGCTTGCTTCTTTCCTCCACTTTCTTCTAACATAACATGCAGAATTCACCCACTCTAAAGTTGGCCTTATGCATTACAATCTAATTGCACAATTTCCTTTAGCTCTACCGACCACTGTCTGACTGTATACCAATTAACAATATATTTTTGTAGGTAGGGCCCTCACATCACTGTTCTGGTAAATGTAAAGGAGATGTTACAGAGAATAGCTGTACAGTTACCTGAAGGTGATTCTGGGCTCCCTAGACACAGGCCCCAGTATTGATGCAGCTTCAAATGTCCTGCTGCAGCAGTGGCTTGTCACCTATGTACAACAAGGATGCTGATTGGCTCACTTGGAACCAATTACTAGCACTTTTTATAGACCAATTTGGGCTTGCGCCACTGTGCATTGCCAACCTGAAGCTGGAAGGAGCCCAAGATTTCTGTCAGGTATCCCTGGTTCATATATGTGCGGGCCGCGATTTGTGCGGGCATGAGAGCACATTCGTTTGAATGGACTCCTGTGCCCCGGGACACGCAGGGAAGAAGTCCCTGCACTACTTGGGAAATCACAGCCTGCATGGGAACCGAGCTACCCGCATTCCTCTGTGTGGGTGGTGCTGCTGCAGGTATTTGTGTGGGTCCAGCAGTGACACCACCCGCACAGATGTGAACCAAGACATAAGGGTAAGAGGAGATTATTTCTGCATATATGTTCATAAATGTGGGAGGGATGGAAATAGAGTAGACTATGGTTGGTTAACATGCTTAGATCTGAGCTGTATTTTGCTGAGGTGAAACTCGCCCTGCAATCTTGCATTTGTCAACAAACAAACTGAAACAGATCTGTCTAGCTACCTGTCTGTCTCTGTCATTCTTGCACATGTAATGTAATAGTGCTATAACTTTCTTCATTTTGTAGTTTGCCAGGTATTCTGCGTTACTGCTTGGGATTGTCTATGGCAGTTCAAGATATGGTAAGTTTTATACAATATATTTTAAATTGGTAAAACTTTCTCTTCCTAAAACTGTGCTTTTACCCTATTGAGTGTGTGATAATTCTTGCAGAGTCTGATCGCAGTTTACTACTACTTTACTTTTTTTTATCCCATACAGTACATCTGAAGGAAGTTGGTCTTCTAGGGTCCAAGTGTTTTAGTGTCATCCAAGGAGCATGGCAGAATTTATTTATTGGACAGTAATTACATACAGGTTTCTGATGCAAGGTGTAGGCAGATTTTGTTGCCCATGTCTAAATGGATAGTGTCATGCCTGGAACATAGCAGTATCAGGTGTCATAGTGTCCTTAAAAGCAAGAAAGAAGTACTTGTCTGTGTAATATGACTTTTCTATCTTATTTATCCTTCTGTTCATTATTGAGCAGAGTGACATGAACATACATTGTCAAATAATTTGAGCTGTAAGAAGTAATGGGATTCATAATGCAGCAGAAACTCATTCAGATGTTTGCAACTTTAAAGTGGTTTTTACCATCACGCATTGTATTCATGAAGGTAAAAAACTGTGTGTAGCAGCTCCCCCTAACACTTACCTGAGTCCCATCCCGATCCAGAGATATTCACGAGAACCTCGGTGCTCCGGAACCATTGGCTCCCACTACTGTCAGTCACAGCTACTGAGCCAATCAGGAGAGTGAGTGGCTGGGGCTGAGCCACAGCTGTGTGCGTCTCTCTGTCACGCAGAGCTGTGGATCTGGAGCGCGCCTGCTCGGGTGCCCCCCATAGCAAGCAGCACCCAACGGGAGGGAGGGGCCAGGAGCGCCAGCAGGGGACCCAAGAAGAGGAGGATGTGGGCTGCTCTGGGCAAAACCACTGCACAGGGAAAGTAAGTATGACATGTTTGTTATTTGAAAAAACAAAAAAAGCCTTTAGTATTACTTTAAGGGTCAGTTCACCTTTACAAAAAGAACTGTCTAAGCTGCTAAGGGGTGTCTGTAGATAAAAACTATGCAGCGCTTACTAAAGTTGAATATTGCCCTTACTATAGGTGTAGGCTGTTTACATACCTTTCGAAGCCTGACAGGAATACTCCCAAGATGTTGCTAAATGAGGTCTAGTTGTTACTGCTCACTTCCACCATCACAGGAGTGAGCTTGTTCTCTGATTCTAACCCCCACACATGCTCTTTCTCTCTCCTGATGCAGTCGCTCTGAGCTCAGTGTTTGATATCTTACTTCTGTGATGGAGGAGGTGAACAGTAAGCACTAGGCCGCACTTGGCAACTTCCTAGCAATGTCCTGGGAGTATTTCAGTCAGGCTTCATGAGGTACGTAAATGGCCTACAGCTATAGCAAGGGAATTATTCAACTTTTTCTACATATGCTCCTTACCTGCTTAGTCAGTTTTTTGGTAAAGGTGAACTAACCTTTTGTCTAATTTGCTCTGCTTAACCCAGCCTCCTCCGTTCATGCTTGAGAAGCCCTAAAATTGTCAGCCAAAAATACACTGGCAGTTTTGCTGAATAGGCACAGCAGGGCCATGTGCAAGAGCCATTTGCCTCACTTTTGAGAATGCTATAAACTTTCTTCTTTTTTTTTTTTGTTAGTATCTTCAGGAATTCTCTTTGATTTTTATAATTATTTGCTTTTTTTGGATCTTTGTGCTAGTAATGAGATTTTGATGGTAATCCTCAAAATACGTGAGGCTTCTACTGGGCCAGGCATTAATTGGAGTGATTTTAAATTAGAGGGTAATTACTTTTTCATTCTATGGTAGTCACTCCTGTATAAATTGGGCATGGTTTTAATTTTACAAACTAGAAGCTTTGTATCTTCTCATCACTGATTGGTAAAAGAAAAAAACCTAGGGAGGGGTCTAAACCACTGTCATTTTTTTATGGCTGTCTGGGCCTCTTCAAGGGGATTCCTCTTCATTTTCTGTCCTGGAGATGAAACGCAAAGTGAGGGGAATTTCCCTTTTAACAGAATTGTCGCCAGTACAGGTCTCCCCATTGGTAGACTTACCTTTAACACTTTTTCTGGTGACAGCTCTAACATTTTGGATTTCTCCTCTCTTCTGTCTCTGACAATAACCAGGAGAAAATGGGGTAATCTACCTGAAATAGCAATCAATACCTTGATAATGGTTCTTCTCTTTCCTTACTGGGAGATAAACTAAAAATATTTTTTGCCTAGCAATATTTGCAATAATAAAGGAAAACCTACATGTATGTACTTCATGCAGGACACTCACAGAAATGCATCTACATATAGACCGTGATGTTACCAGAGACTGCTGTTCATGCATTTTTAAGAGATTTTCCTGGCCCCATCCTGACAGCGCTGGTCAAATCTGCAGCAGAGGGTTTCATTTAATAGTTGCATCAACATCTAGGTTACTCAAAGTAGTTTTTAGTGAATGTTGGAGGTAATTACCTCTCCCTGATTGCAATGATGCAATATATCAATTGAGGAATTGGACGGCTTTGCAAATAAAGGTTTTACACCCTATCTTGGGATATGACACACAAGTTTCACACCATGACTCCAAAGTTATATCCGTAAATTCTAGTTGTTGAAAGAGGCAGGGCTTTGAGTGGTCATGGCCTAAGAGATGCCCCTCACCGCTGCCCTGAAGAGGTCTTTCACCATGAGTATATAAATCTAAACATGGCAGGTATTCATTTTCTTTGGGAAAGGATTGATCAAATGTTTTCTGAGTTTTCTTACAAATCTCTTTTTTTACAGCATATTTAAAGCCAATAGCTGAAGAAGACAGAAGGATTGAGGCAGAGGAGAAAAAGAAACAAGAAGAAGCAGCGCGCATTGCAAGAGAGTTGGCAGGTTGGTTGTGTTTAATAGATACTTGTGCAGAAATTGTAATACAAATCTAACAGGGCACCATGCTGAAATCCGCCAGCTAGAGGTTTTTTTTTTTTACTGGAGATTTAACAAAATATGGGAGCTGCCATTGCTGATGCAGAATCCTGGATGTTGTGCCCACCCTGGTTTCTCTATATGGTGAGATAATGACCTGAGTCAAGCATGCTGGAAAGGAGTACAGATACTCCACAAGCGTGTTTGGCCAGGTTACTAGTTCACTAGATAGTGAAGCAAAAATTAAGAAGACCGCGCCCCAGAACATGTAGCACCAAAACAAAACCATAGCGTTGTTTCCCTTAATATTGTCTTCACATTTACTTTGTTTTGATTTGCAGCTCTCCATGGAGGAGGAATGGCAAGTTAGTGGTCTTGTTCCTCCTCACCCTCTTCTTGCAACTAAGCTTTTTGGACCCTTCTGTAATTTAACACTAGACCATACTTCAATGTATTGCATCATGAGTGTCTGATTCTTCCAGAATCGCAAATGGTGTTTCACAAAATTATAAATGCAGAAATCAAAATCATTTAAACAATCCCAAAAAGACAAGACAGAGATGGGAAGATAGAATGGTTGCACAATCTTAACCTGGTATAAACACTGACCATCCTATCTGCTGAGCGTGCAGCTTTATGCTTTATGGAGCCAGTCTTATCTTGGAGGAACTAAAGCTCTCATCCAGGAAAATTCATTGTGGAGAAGTAATCCAGGATTTTGGTGTCAGACCCAGAATAAGTATGTAGATAATTGCATACTTACCTGTAAAATCCATTTCTTGGAGTACACCACGGAACACAGAGCAGGCTATAATCATTACTTTCTGGGTTATGCGCCACCTATAGGTGAATGGACAGCTGACTAAACAGACAGGAAGTCCTCCCCTAATATAACCCCTCCTACACAGGAATTACCTCAGTATTGTAGAAACCAATGAAATTCCAGAAAGAAGGGAGGGACCTCAGTGTCCTGTGGTGTACTCCAAGAAATGGATTTTACAGGTAAGTATGTAGAAAAAATAATCCAATTTTCTTTATCACACATCATGGGACACAGAGCAGGCTATAATTGTTACTATCAGGGATGTCCCAAAGCAGTACATTTGGAGGGAGGAAGACACTAATACCAGACACCATTATCAGCCCGAGGACCTACTGCAGCCAAAAACAGCATCCTCTGTAGCTCTAACATCCACTTGGTAGAACCTTGCAAATGTATGCACTGAAGACCAGGTAGCGGCCTTGCAAACCTGAGTTACCGACGCCTGATGGCTCCCACACTTCTGGTAGACTGCGTCCTTGCCCTTCAAACAATAGGCTTGAATGATTAACTGGCGGATCCAATGAGAAATGGTTGCTTTGGATACCACTTGCTCTTTTCTGGGACCTTCTGGTAGCACAAACAGGGAATTGGACCTTCTGATTTGTGCCGACCTTTTTTTTAGATATACTCTGACAGAGCTCGCACTACATCCAAAAAATGCAGAAATTTCTTTGCTGATGAGTGAGGATTCAGAAAAAAGAGGGTAGAACAATGTCCTCATTCAAGTGAAAGCTGGAAATGACTGTAATAAAGAGAAAAGGTTGCATGAGGGTGCAACACCACCTTATGGTGTAAGATTAAAAATGGCTCCTTGCAAGAGAGAGCCGCTAGTTCCAACTTGCTTTTTTCCGAATGATTGCAATTAAAAAAAAAAAAAAACAAAAAACTTTTCGAGTCAAAAGGACAAGTGGAATATCACATATAGGTTCAAAAGGCTGCTTTTTCAAGGTAGCCTGAAAGGAGGAACCGTATGAATCACCCCTGCAGAAAAGCCCCAACCAAGGAATTTGAAGCAGTAGGCCTTTGAAAAAAAATATGGACAAAGCTGAAACCTGACCTTTAATGGTGCCCAAGGCCAACCTCTTTTCCAAACCTGACTGGAGAAAAGAGAGAATCCTCCTAGCTGCATATTTCCCAGGATGTCAACCTTTGGCCTCACACCAGGAAATGTAAGACTTCTAGACTGTGTAATAGATGTTCCTGGAAACCGCCTTCCTAGCGTTAAACAGTGTAGAAGTAATTGGACCTGAGACCCCTCGGTCCCTCAAGATCCTGGCTTCAATAGCCACACTGTCAAATTTAGCGAACATAAGGCTGGGTGCCATATTGGGCCTTGAGACAGTAGGTCCGCCTGGACGAGAAGAGACCATGGACTGTCCACAGATGACCTTTTTACTATCTGCTTCTGGGTCAGGCCAGGGCTGCCAAGATCAACAGTGTTACCTCCTCCCAGATCCTGCGCAAAAGGTATAGCAGAAACTTAATCGGGGGGGATCTTTCACGCTTCTTACCTTCCTGCTTAACAGAGTAAATTATGCCAGCAATTTTATTCACAAATTCAGCCAAGGCTGATGCTAAATCATCCTTCGTAACGTTTCCTGAAGCAGACACATCAGTGGAGCCACTTCACTTGTCTGGCATTGTGGCTACTAATTGCCCAGTCACCTCTGGTCTTTCAGGGGAAGTCACCACAGTGGAACTACAACTAGGATCCTCAGGACCTGATAGTGCACACATGCCCCTTCCTGCTATAGTTTCCCCACTCCGCTTTCTGGGAGACCGCTTATTCTAAAGCGACTTTACTGCAATGCAACTGGGGCTTGTGACCATAAACATTAAAGTGTTACTAAACCCAATAGTCTGCATTCACTATATCTGGTCTACCACAGTACACAAAACATGGAAGTGCAATTATTTTAGCAAATATAAACTGCTAAATACCCTTTTCTCATCAGCAGTTAGAGCAGTCTTGTGATTTCTATCAGTGTTCAGCAGAGCACTGGTTAAAGGTTGTAGGAGGAGTTTTCATTCTGCTCTAGGAGGATGTAGAACCCCTGACCTCTGTCTGAACAGTACTGATTGGCCCTGTGATGATCACATGCACTCTCCCAAGGGAAAAAAAAACCTCTCTAGCTATACACACTAAACTGATCCTAACTTCTCTGCTCCTCCTCTTGTTCAAATGTTCATGTCTTCTCTCCTGATAAGACAAACTGAACCGTAGCCATTCTGCCCATGCTCAAATGGCCTTTTTACACAATGCAGAGGATTAACCCCTTAGGTTCCACAGTGAGTATAACAAGCATGCTTTACTGCATATGCAGACTGATTTTACTGTTGTGGGTTTAGTAACACTTTAGCACACCAGTACAGCACCCCACCATACAAGGCTGTAATACATCATTTAGCAGCCATCACAGCACAGACAACAAATGGATGCAGCACTAAAGCAGGAGCCAGTTCAGACTGCTACCTGTGACTGTACACCCATCAAGGACTTGCATGCCCAAAGAATAGCCTACTCTGTGTCCCTTCCAGCAGCCTCACAGGAGCCCTATATGTAAGACGTTATCCACCTAAGTAAGATGGCTGCCCACAGCCTCTGGCCGCAACTGTGCATCCACAGTGTGCTGTGTGCACGCCCGCCTCTGGTGAAAGCCGCATGCGTGCTCCGGGACTCCTGCAGCCTTTAGCTGGAAACAATAAGACATGGTTACCTCCGACAGGTTTCCCAAGCATGCCAAAAATACACCACCAGCTAGAAAAACATACAAAGTACAGATACAGTGCTCCCAATGCCCTCTAGTGGTAAAAAGTGATAAGATTGTGGATATCTGGCCCCGCCAAACTCACTGCTCTGGCTACATAGGCAGTATTGGTGTTCTGCATAAGATCATAAAAAGGCTCCTTGACGTAGCCCAATTCTCTGTTCGCCCTATGGAAATGAAGGTTTTAAAAGATACATCCTTCTTCCTTTTTTTTTTTTTCCAAGAAAAAGAGCAAACTTACCAATCCCGCCGCAGGGCTTTACTATTAAACACACCCAATCGTCACCCATCACAGCGAGGCTTGTCACTTAATTTTGAAGGACTAGGTCCCCCTTATGTTTTTTGGGGTCCACTCCCTTGGACATGTATAGCACCCTGCCAGAGAAATGCCTTGGTCATTTAGCAAAAATGCACAGGGATCTGTAAAACAGGGTCCAGCGCCAAAAAGGTTGTATTACAGGCAAACCTTGTCGAGTCCCTCATCTTCCATAGGAGGCAAATGGAGCCAAGTAACCAGTCCCTTGATCCCTATTTAGTACCATCTTTGAGATCAAACATTCTCACATCAAACTGAAATTCAGTGACCACCTTCCAGACATTAGTGAAAAACTAAGGTACTTTCTGTGTCGGAGGGGTTATAAAGGGGAGGACTTCCTAGTCTTCCGGTGTCCATTCACTGATAGATGGGGCATAACCCAGATAGTAATGATTATAGCCTGCTCTGTGTTACTGTTACTAAAACTGGAGAGTGCAAAATCTGGGGCAGCTCTGCATAGAAACCAATCAGCTTCCATTGTTTTTTTTGTTTTTTTTTGTAATCAAAGCTTAATTGAACAAGCTGAAGTTAGAAACCAATTGGCTATCATGTACAACTGCACCAGATTTTGCACTCTAATTTTTGTAAATCAAGCCTTTGATCCTTAAGAAAAAGTTCACTTCATGCAGCTAAGAAGAGAGAAGGAAAGGAATGGCAGCAGGCTCTTGCATCCATTAGTGGTAGGGGAAATGGAGACACTGCATTGCAGTTAGTCCAGTAATGACCAATGTGCGTCTTCTGCAGTGAGTGTTGGTTCATACCATGAATTGCACTGGAACACGTTTTGTGTTTGTGTGATTCACATGCGATCGGGGTGCAGTGCAATTTCAGCCCATTCGTTTGAATGGCTGAAATCATGCTGAACCGCACCAAACTTAGTGCAAACACTACTTTGCTAAATGCACAGCAACTGCATCTCATGGTACTACTGTATGATGTGATCCGGTGCAGGCAAACTCACTGCGTTCTGCATTTTGAGGTGTTAACACTGAGACCCATTGCAAGTGCAGTGCGTTTTGAACGCAGTGTTGGAAATGCGCATGTAACGTGGGTTTCCCA